GCCACAAGAAGTATTCCTGGTGGTGTTGGGGGACCACTTGTGCTGGGGATTGAACTAGGGGCATTTGTGAGTACTCCAGTCTTTTGGGGTGATCTCCCCAGCCCAAGAAAATGGTCACATTCTGTGCTCAGCCAGATGAGCACTGGAAGGTGGCATATAGCTATGAGGAGCTGGGAATGAGAGACCGTGGCTGTGCACTTACAGGAACCCCTTGTATACTCTGCTTCTGCCTGAGGAACAGCCTGTGGCACCAGGAGCAGGGGCTGCCTCAGGGGGGCTGCTGAGAGGCGAACCCCCGCAGGTGCAGACAGGACACCAGTTACGTAAGAACAAAACAAGAGAGAGCAGTGGGAGAGGGGCTGCCTTCCAAAACAGCTGCTCTTAGAGACAGAGAGCACACGGCTAAGCATGGCAGAATTTAATACCAATCGTCAATACTGCCTTCAAGAGTACACAATTATTTTGGGGGGGGAAAAATTTAAAAAAAGACCTTAAATAAAAAGCATCAGGAGTGTATTGTGCTAAATCTAATATCGTCAATTATAAAGTGTATCATCATCATGATTTACTATTACTATTTTTATTTTTGGGCCACACGTGGCAGTAGTCAGGGCTTATACCTGGTTCTGTAATAAGGGGTCAATCCTGGTAGAGCTCAGGGAACCATATGAGAGGCTAGGAATCTAACCTGGGTCAGCCATGTGCAAGGAAATCCCCTACCCATTGTACTATCTCTTCAGCTACATCATCATCATCATTATTATTATTTGGGTTATAGACAGCTGTCAGGGTCAGGTGAATGAGACCAGTTGTAGTTACTGTTCAAGAAGGGAGACATCCATGACATTGGCAACTATCGCCCGATCTGCCTATTGTCTGTCATCTACAAGTTGTTCACTCGAGTCATCCTGAATAGGATTGGCAGAACACTAGATGAAGGACAACCATGTGAGCAAGCAGGGTTCCGCAAAGGATTCAGCACCATCGACCATATCCACACGATAACCAAACTCATTGAGGTTTCTCGGGAGTTCAAGATGCCGCTCTGCTTAACGTTCATTGATTTAAAGAAGGCCTTTGATTCTGTTGAGACGGAAGCGGTCATTGAAGCCCTAGCCAATCAGGGCATTCAAGCCCAATACATCAGGATCCTCCGTGAGCTGTATTGCGGATTCACTACCAGGATCTCACCATTCTACAAAGAAGTGATCGTTGATGTCAAGAGAGGGGTGCGGCAGGGTGATACCATTTCACCAAAACTCTTCAGTGCCACCCTCGAGAACATCATGCGACGACTGGAATGGGAAGGAATGGGAAGGAATGGGAGTGAAGATAGATGGTCGGCAACTACACCACCTCCGCTTTGCTGATGACATTGTTTTAATAACACCAAACATCAGCCAAGCGGCACAAATGCTGGCCGACTTTGACCGTGAGTGTGGAAAGGTAGGACTACAGCTGAATCTTACGAAGACAATGTTTATGAGAAACAGCCTTGTTCCTGACGCCCCATTCGCTCTCAATGGAACGACCATCTCCGAATGCAACAGCTATGTCTACCTAGGTCGAGAGGTCAACATGACAAATGACCTGGCACCCGAGCTGCGCAGGAGGAAGAGAGCGGCTTGGAACGCCTTCAAGAACGTCGAAGAAATAGCTAAGAGGACGAAGAACCTCCGGCTCCGGGCACATCTCTTTGATTCCACTGTTCTTCCTGCATTAACATATGCCTCAGAGACCTGGGCCCTACGCAAACAAGATGAGAACGCCATTCAGGTCTCCCAAAGAAGAATAGAAAGAGCTATGCTTGGAATATCACGTTTCACTCAAATGAGAGAACGAATCCGGAGTTCTGACATCCGTCGACGATCAAGGATCAGGGACGCTGTCTCATTTGCCAAGGTGTCGAAAATCAGATGGGCTGGTCACGTAATGAGATTTAAAGACGACCGTTGGACTAGAGCTGTTACTGATTGGATTCCACGGGATGTCAAGAGACCGCGTGGCCGCCCACCTACCAGATGGTCAGACTTCTTTGTCAAGGTCATGAACGATCGGTTTGAGGCCCTCCATGTTCCCGGAGCGAAGAGATGCCATTGGGCTACACTAGCACGCGACAGGGACAAATGGAGACGTTACTGGCGCCAGCTCGAGCAAATCGACGACTAACGGGAAGTTAAGTGATTAAGTGATTAAGTGATAGACAGCTGTGCTCAGGGATTACTCTTGGTGTTGCCTGGGGGACTACATGCAACATCAGGGATCGAACCTGGTTAAGCAATATTCAAGTGTGTGAGGCACCTTACCCACTGTACTATCTCTCCGGCTACTGCTTCTCCTTGCCCTCGTTGTCGTCGTCGTCGTCCTCCTCCTCCTCTTCCTCCTCCTCCTCCTCCTCCTTCTCCTCCTCTTCCTCCTCCGCCTCCTCCTCCTTCTTCTCCTTCTCCCTTTCTTCTTCTTCCTCCTCCTCCTCCTCCTCCTCCTCCTCCTCCTCCTCCTCCTTCTTTCCCCCACATCCAGCAGTATTCAGGGCTTACTCCTAGCTCTGTCCTCAGAGATCATTCCTGGCAGTGCTTGAGGGATCATATGCAGCCCCATTATCCAACAAGGTCAGCAGTATGCAAAGCAGCACATAAATCGGGGATGTAAGTGAGGGTGGTTTAGGTCATACTAGGTAATGTTTAGGGGTTGCTCCTGACTTTGTGTTCAGGAGTGACCCCTGGTGGTGATAGGGGGACGTAAGGTACTTGGGATGTAAGGCATAGTTCTTAATCCTTATCTTATCTCTCCAGCCCTAAAATGTAGTATTTTAAGAAGAAGTTCTCTATCTATCTGTCTGTCTGTCTATCTATCTATCTATCTATCTAATTTATTTTTTTGGGGAGGGTCACACCAGGCATTACTCCAGCTTATTACTCCAGCTTATTACTCACAGGCCACTCAGGGCAATGTTCAGGGGACAATATGTGTTATTAGGGACTGGACATGGACCTCCTGCAGGCAAAGTGTACACTCTAGTCCTTGTTGTCTACTTACAAGTTAACTTGTAAGTTTTAAGACATACCAACATTTCAGAGATGGTAGAAAGTCAAAACATATTCTTCACTGATTTTTGATTTAGCCACAAAACTATGACCTACACTTACTGTGAGGATGAGGAGGGGAGAAACATGAGGGGGTATTTGTTTAAAAACTTAAGCACTAAATACTCCTGTCCCCAAAATAAAGGTGTAGCGCATATCTGGAATGGATACTTCAAAACACTAGCAGCACTGGGGCTGGAGCGATAGCACAGCTGGTAGGGCATTTGTCTTGCACGCGGCCGACCCTGGTTCGATTCCCAGCATCCCATATGGTCCCCCGAGCACTGCCAGGAGTAATTCCTGAGTGCATGAGCCAGGAGTAACTCCTGTGCAAAGCCGGGTGTGACCCAAAAAGCAAAAGCAAGAAAACAAAAAACAAAACAAAACAAAAAAAACACTAGCAGCACTATCCAGACATCAATGCTATCACAGGCAGGGACAGCTTAAATAATGGGAAATGGTGGCCTCTGTGACCCCCAGGATGGCAGAGTGAGGTGCTTTTCAGAATTGCTGCCTTTTAAGTACACTGTTAGCTTAGAATGGCTATTTGACACATGTGTGCTACTTTTTTGAAAATAGGAGCCACTCACTTATTCAGTATTTATTCATCCCTTTAATAAATATTGACACAGAGGTAAGGCAGACTTACATGTCTTCATGCAGAATTTCTAAATATGTTGAGAGAGATTGGTATGAATAATAGTAATTGCCACTGTAGGGAAAAACATAGGATGAGCTGGAAGACCAGTGGTTAGACCCCTAATAGAGGGAGAAGCATGAAAATGTTTGAAAAGGCTTCCCAGAGATGGCGTCTTAGCTGACATTCCTGTTACAGAGAAAGAGAAAGGGCTATTGCTTTTGCTCATGACATTTCTCAGTGGAATGCTAGTGCTTTTCAGCATTTGAATGCAAATCTTATTTCTCAATGTTTTTTTGGAGTTCTACCACCCAGCCTCTGTAACTAACCAAACATGCACTGGGATTATGCATATTACTTTGATAGGAAACTTCGAGGTTTAAAAGGGAACACAAAATCAGAGATCTGGAGACCCTAAACCTCTCTCTTTGAAATATGTTAGCCAGCCACAAGATGAAGACATGATCATATTCCACTTAACAGGCTTCTAAGAAGGCCAGATGACCCTCCCCACTCATACACCTTTCCTCTTCCGGCTCCTCTAAATGGAAGTGTGGTCAAGAAGAGTCCAGAGTCCTCTTAGCTGTGTGGAAACCGTCAGTGCTCACAAATCAATCTCCTATTTCAACCCCGTTGACTTTTCAATAGGTGTAATGCTCACTGTTTCCAGGCGTAGAAACTGAGACTGGAGTGGCCACCAATGGCCACCTCCTTTGCATAATAGCTTGGCCTGTCTCCCCTTCTGGTGATGTTAAACCGGGCCAAGATCTCCCCCAAGGAATAAGACGAAGACAAGTGGCGATGCATTAAGCAAAGGGTCTTTATTGGCTAGCTCAAGCTGGGGTCCGAGTCTCATCCAATGCAGTGGAGTCTTGACAAGGACCCTGACTCCAAATCACAAACAGTTTATGTAGGGTTCAGCGTTAAGAGTGGTTTATATGCTGGTCTATTTTTAGCATTGGCCTTATTACATCAGTGGTCAGCAGTTAGACAGCAGGTACCAGTAACTGCTTGGGGTTCTTTCCAAGAAGGGTGGGGTGGCCCCTCATCACTGGCCAGATCCAACTTCCCAGTTTCTTATCTAGGTGAATTACTCAACTGGGAGTTTACCAGAAACTGCAAGTCTTGCCTCAGGGAAACAGAAACTGAGGCCTAGCTGAGACTTATTGTTAGCTTCAGCTTGTCGTGGCATCAGTTTCCCTCTCATCATAGGGCCCCCTCTAAGAACACTCACATACTGTCAGACTCACCTGAAACCATGATGTTCCCCCATCCTTTAGAGGAAAGAAGAAGAGGAGAGGAAGCGAGGAGAAGAGCAGATTCGCCTGCAGGAGGAGCAGAGGGCAAAGGAACTCTACTGGTCTCTGAAGCAGGCGCAACTGCAGAGCCACGCCAGCGAGAAGGAGGAGCAGGAGTGGGCCGAGCAGCGTAAGTCCGGCTTGCTTCTCCGGGATGGACACACTCACTCCACTTATTTCTTTGCTCAGTAATCCTGGCGGTTCACTCGCTCAGTCCAGAAACAGGCTCAGCCCCCTGCCGACGACCCAGCAGTCAGGGATCGTCTTCAAGGAGCTGACGTGCCTGTTGGGGAGAGGTCTTCCATGGAAGCATGTACTCCCCTTTGGACAATGCTTTCTTGGCTCTGTGTTAAGCTTTGGGGATCCTGAGGTGCAGGACCCTGGAGGCATCCACCATCCTGCAGGGGAGAGACAGCCTTGAGAGATCGGGTCTCCCACAACATTGGAGCCCTGAGTGGCTATCCCAGTGGAGTTCTGGAGATAAGTATTACCGAGTGAGGCTTGAGCTTGGCAAAGGAGTTACAAAGAGGTTGAAGAGGGTCCTCGACCTGGAGGATACGGCATGTGGGCGTTGCAGGCCTCTGGAATGTGGTGTGCTTGGAGAGCTGGAGGGGTGTGTGTGTGTGTGTGTGTGTGTGTGTGTGTGTGTGTGTGTCCGTGTGCGTGCGCGCCTGCGTGCATATGACTGTCTGGAGAGTTTGGAGAGTGCTAGAATGATATGATGACAGTGTAGATGGGAAAGGGACAGCAGCTCCAGGAGCAAAGGGTGGCATTGAAGTATTCCTCAGGATGGGTTTTAGTCAGGGCAGTGAGGCACAAAAATGTGGAAATGACAGTCTGGCAGGAAGAAGATTCCGTTCCTGGGTTCTCAGAAACAGGCAGTGTGGCATCCCTTTTGCCCCTGATTGTCCACTTTGTTGGAAATAATTCATAGGATTTTCTTTGAGTCTAGCATTTTAACAAAAGTATCACTTATTATATCTCTTCTTGAGTTCTGACTTTATTATTTATGTCTTTTCTTGACTTTTCTTTTTTTTTCTTTTTTTGGGTCACACCTAGTGATGCACAGGGGTTACTCCTGGCTCTGCACTCAGGAATTACTCCTGGCAGTGCTCAGGGGATCATATGGGATGCTGGGAATAGAACCCGGGTCAGCTGCGTGCAAGGCAAATGCCTTACCCGCTGTGCTATCTGTGCTATCCAGCCCCTCTTGATTTTTCTTAGTCTGGTAGAAGATTTGTATGCCTTTTTCATATCTACCTTTTCTTTTTTCCTTTTTTAAAAAAATTAAATGAATTTTATTGAATCACCATGAGATAGAGCATTACAAAGCTGTTCATGATTGGGTTTCAGTCATACAATGTTCCAACACTCATCTCTCCACCAGTGCAATTTCTCCAGCACCAATGTCCCCAGTTTCGCTCCCACTCCTCCAGATCCCTTCCACCCAGTCTGCCTCTATGGCAGGCACCTCTCTTCTCTCTCTCTCTCTCTCTCTCTCTCTCTCTCTTTCTCCTTTCTCTCTCTTTCTCAGTCTTTCTCATTTTAGGCATGATGGTTTGTAATATGGATACTGAAAGGTTATCATGTCTCTCCCTTTACCTACCTTCAACACTCAGTTCCTGTTCAGAGTGTGATCTTTTCCAACTATTGTTGTGATACTGGACCCTCCTCTATCTTAACTACCCTCCACCCCACACACACCTGTGGTAATTTCTAACCATTGACCAGTCCTTGGCCTTGGATATTAATCTCATACTTTTTTTTATATCCCACAAATGAATGCAGTCATTCTATATCCATCCCTCTCCTCCAGACTCATTTCACTCAGCCTGATACTCTCCATGCCCACCCATTTATAGACAAATGTCATGACTTCATTTTTCCATCCTAACAACTGTGTAGTATTCCATTGTGTAGATGTGCCATAATTTTTTTTTATCCAGTTGTCTGTTCTCAGGCACTCAGGTTGCTTCCAAATTCTGGCTAACTTGAATAGTGTTGCAATGATTATAGAAGTGCAGATGGTATTTCTGCTGTGTTTTTGGACCCTCAGGGCATATTCCCAGAAATGCATATCTACCTTTTCTCATGTCTACCATTTCGTTTATATATTTAAAGACTCAGATGTAGTTTTTTTTTTAAATTTTTATTTATTTACTGAATCACTGTGGGAAAAGTTACAAAGCTTTCAGGTTTAAGTCTCGGTCATGCAAATATCAAACACATTTCCCTTTACCAATACTTATTTTTCACCACGAAGAACCCCAATAACCCCCCCAACCCTCCCAATGCCTGTGAAGCAGATGAATTCTAGTAACACTCTATCTACTTTGATTAGATTCATTGTTTCAACAAAAGATGCACCACTATTATTTAGAGTTTACACTCAGATGTAGTTTTGTTGATTTTTTTCCCTGCTGTTTTATTTTCATGATTTTTTGCTCTAATCTTCATTTCATTTCATTTCATTTTTTGGCTAACATTAGTCTTTATTCTTTTTCTAGTTCTTTGAGATATAAGGTTAGGTTGTTTACTTGTTGCTTATCTTCCTCTTTTTCCTTTATGTGAGCAGTGTCACCATAGCCTTTCTGTTTAGCATGGCTTTTGTTGTATCCCATAAGCTTTGCTGCCATTTTTATTTATCACAGGGTATTTAAAAAATGTCCTCTTTGTTTCTTCTTTAAACCACTGGCTGTTCAAGGTGTGTTTAAAAAAATTTCTGCCTATTTCTGAATTAACGTCTTAATGATTTCTAGTTTCATTTTATTATAATGAGTGAAGATACTTGCTATGAGTTCAATTTTCTTAAATGTATAAAGTTTTTTGGGTGGTTAAACGTGTGATATGGCAAGCTCCCTGTGCCACATTCGATATGCCAAAAACAGTAACAATTCTCATTCCCCTGACCCATGGAGCAAATCCATGAACAACAGGATGACAGTGATACAGTGAAACGTGTGATATCACTGTATCACTGTCATCCCATTGTTCATCAATTTCCTCGAGCAGGCACCAGTAACGTCTCCATTCATCCTAGCCCTGAGATTTTAGCAAGTGCCACGTTGGAGGCTCTTTCAGGGTCAGGGGAATGAGACCCATCATTGTTACTGGTTTTGGCATATCGAATACGCCACGAGGAGCTTGCCAGACTCTGCTGTGCGGGCAGGATACTCTCAGTAGCCTGCCGGGTTTTCTGAGAGTGAGAATTAGACAATAAGAAGTCTCACATCCACGAATGCATTTGTGGCTGCACACTTTCTGGAGCTTGGTTTTATACTCTCTTGGTCTTGGCTGGCTCTCCCGTTGATCATCGATTTGCTCGAGCGGGCCCAGTAACGTCTCCATTGGAGACTTTGTTGTTACTGTGTCTGGCATATCGAATACGTCACGGGGAGCATGCCAGGCTCTGCGGTGCAGGCGAGATACTCTCAGTAGCTTGCCGGGCTCTCCGAGAGGGGCGGAGGAATCGAACTCGGGTCGGCCATGTTGGCTGCGTGCAAGGCAAACGCCCTACCGCTGTGCTATCGCTTGGCTGTTGATGGGATTACACAGCGGGGGGGGGGGGGCAGTTGGTGGATGTAACGTGCAGCCACTGGAAGATGGGGGATCTGGGTGGAGGAGGCTCAGACCCGATCCGAGCAGCCTTGGAGATCTTAGCCCCGGGTCTTGCTCACCTGGGTTCCTCTGCCAGTTCCTTCATGTGTGAGGCTCATCTGAGCATGTAGAGAGTGGTCTTAAGCATGGCTGTGGCTGGTTCCAGAGGTCTTCAGTTGGCAAAGTGTGATATATCCTAAAATATGTCCCATGGGAACTGGAGCAGATAATGCATTGTTGCTGTTAAGTGGAGTGTTTTGTCCATGTCTGTGAATTTGTGGTGTGTGTGTGGAGGGGATGTTCAGCCCTTCAGTCATATAAGGCTAGTAAAATTGTGTGGTCTGGTCCTGGTACATGACAGGACAGATTCATGTGTTTCTTATTGACTGCTTGAGGTCCATCTGCCAATATTGTCTGACTGTGAATGATAATATAAATATCCAAATGGCCCTTGTCAGAAAAAAGTTTCCATAATCCTGGATGTGTAATCACATTGAATGTTCCCTAATCAATTTTCTGATTGGGTAATCAATTATTGAAAGTGGGGTATTGGCATTCTCTACTGTTATTGTCTTCTTTTCTCTCCTTCCTTTTAGAGCTATTAACATTCGTTTTGCATAGTTGCTCTAGTGTTGGGTGTGCACGTGTTTATGATTCTTGTATCTACTTAATGAATTGTCCCCTTTATTAGTATATAGTGACCCTCTTTATTCTTTTTACCATCTTTGGTTTAATGTCTCATTAGTCTGATAGAAGTTCAGTTACTTCTGCTTTCTTTCAATCTACATTTGCATGGAACTTCCTTTTCCATCCGAGAAGGGAGAGCATTTGGAAACACCGTCTGTAGGAAATGGCCTGGGAAAGTGGTAGGGGAGAGGCGGGGTAGGGCGTCATGACAGCACTGAGCAGAAGCACGGTTGTTGCCGACATGGGACATGGTGCCTATTTTCTATGGTGCAGTTTGGGGTTCCTGGTGGGTCATGATAACAATGAGGCAAAAGCCGTGAAGAGTAGGGTTGAAAGAAAAATTCACTCATTTAGATTCAGAATGAGGCACGGGGGTGTAGTACTGTGCTAGCATATTTGCCTTGTGAGGTTCTGGGTTCGATCCCTGGCAACTAAAAAATAATCAGAATGAAAGAGGTGAACAAAGAACGAGAGGGGAGGTTTAGACTGAAGTCAGGGAGTACAGAGAAATCACATGTGCCGTTGTGTGTGGGAAGAAGTACCAGTTATGTTACTTACTAATGTGGTCTTGAGCCAGCCCCCCAACGAGACCCATGTACAGACAAGGATGTGAGGTGACAGTACAGTCGTTCCCGTTGCCCAAGGGTGTGTGGAACAGAAATGGGGGCGGAATGGAAGGTCATGCAACTCAGCGTCTTCCCCTGCACAACAGGGTTAGACTTGAGGTGTCTGGGTGGGAGGGTGCAATGAGGAGGGAGAAAAAGTGCTCACCCATTGTGAAGGGCTGTCACTCAGGGCAGGCATGCTTCCTCTCTCTGTTATGGGTTGGGCTGGTGGTTCATTTGG